AAATGCTGGCGTTTCCAGAAAAACTGGAAGTCCGCCATATTGGATTGTCATGTAATCGAATTCAAAATGGTTTCTTCCATGACTGTACCAAATTTTGAAAAAAATCTGTTTACGAATGCAGCAGTTACATTAGGGGTGTTCCGTGTGTGTCACTTGGTATATCTGATATGAGCAAACAGGTTCTTTATTCAATCAGGTCTGATCAATACAATATTCTATATTATACATATGTTATGATATATACAAAAGTATAGCATCAGTATCCAGCATGATTTCCATTTCTCATGCAATCAATTTTCATTCTTGTTGGCCACACTTGGCAGTTTATTCTTTCTAGCTTCAGCTGAAAAAAAAAACAAACAAATATTATTGTGAAAACTTCACGAGCGATAAGATGGAAAGTGTTATAAACTTCATTTCAGGAACGAGAATTTTGAGCACGAACAAAATATATACAGGGTGTTTCATTGGGAGAGGTAAATAATTCAACTGTGGATAGAGGTCACTGAGGTGATTTCAAAAAACCCATGGTTGATGGGTCTTCGACTTCTTATACCTGAGATACAGGATGTTTCATCAATTTTGTCCATATCTTCATTGTCTCATAACTTTCCAACCAACCTCTATATATTTTTAAAAATTGGTACACTTGCTCAATCTATCCTGTGGAATTGATTGAGGCAACAACGAAAGATAAAATCCAGGTCCGGCTTCACTTAAAATTCACAAATTCTCTCTGCCAGAAAACAACACCCTATACATTCGAATTTCTCATTTTTTTTGCCATATCTGAAAAGAACATCAAAATTTCTATTCAACGATGTGCTTTTTATTCGTGCACAGACGATTTTAACTATTCATCTTATGTGCTCAAAATATTATTTTTGCTCATTTTGGGGTACAAAATTGGAATCAGACGAGATTTATTAATATTATTACTTCCTATTCAGTATACGTGAGTATTACATTTAGAAGGATTATTCCATATCGTTCTTTGTTCCAGACTTAGTTGCAGGTCCGTCATCAAAACTATACAGGGCTTTTCACGATAAGCGTTAATTAGATGTTTCTGGCAAACCAGGCAACGGATAAATCTAAAAATTCGAAGGTATGTATAAATTAACATGATCTACACGAATGAAATATTTGAAACAATCCGGCGCTGCCGCTGCTACTCGAAAGTAGCAGTAACTTTGATTTTTCAAATGGGGCACCCTGGTTGCTTCCTGAAGAGCTGATTTAATCGATTCACAAAGTTCGGGGTCTAGTGGGACTAATAACTGAGATATTTAGAATGAGAAAAATCGAGATGTTTCAACTTTAGAATTATTTTGCGAAAATATTTATTATTGATCAAAACGGCTTTTATGTCCCTATCTCAACCTTGTATCTATTGACATTTAATCGAAACAAATACAGGATGGTTCATAATTCAGATTTCCGCACCACCCTGTATCTGTTTCAATTGAATATCGAATGGAAAGTTGATATAGGGATATTGAAGCCGTTTTGACCATGCAATAATAAATAGTTTCAACACAAAACATTTCTAAAGTTGAAAAATCTCGATTTTCCACATCCACATCCTATATATCTCAGTTATCAGTCCCGCTAGACCTTGAATGTTTTGAATCGATGCAAGGCCCTATCGTTTCAGATATTTCAGTAGTGTAGATTATGTTAATTTATACATACCATCGTATACTCACGTATACTGAATAGGAAGTAATAAAATTAATAAATCTCGTCTGATTCCAATTTTCTACCCCAAAATGAGCAAAAATAATATTTTGAGCACATAAGATGAATAGTTAAAATCGTCTTTGCACGAATAAAAAGCACATCGTTGAATAGAAATTTTGATGTTCTTTTCAGATATGGCAAAAAAAATGAGAAATTCGAATGTTTAGGGTGTTGTTTTCTGGCAGAAAGAATTTGTGAATTTTAAGTGAAGCCGGACCTGGATTTTATCTTTTGTTGTTGCCTCAATCAATTTCACAGGATAGATTGAGCAAGTGTACCAATTTTTAAAAATATATACAGGTTGGTTGGAAAGTTATGAGACAATGAAGATATGGACAAAATTGATGAAACATCCTGTATCTCGGTTATAAGAAGTCGAAGACCCATCAACCATGGGTTTTTTGAAATCACCTCAGTGACCTCTATCCACAGTTGAATTATTTACTCGATTATTTACCTATCCCAATGAAACACCCTGTATATATTTTGAAAAGGAATATTCTCAGATATATTTATAAACACAAAAAAAACTTATATATATGGGAATATAAAGGAATACATTGAGAATTCGCATTCTCCATGTGATGAAAATATTATTTCTTTCTCGGTTTATTCAACCCACACGATAAGAATTTGAAAACAAAATCCTCTGATGTAGAGAACTTGCACTCTCCTTCATATAAAGATATGCATATAATATCGTTCTGAATATATGATTAAAAAAATGCACGGTCCAACAAGAATAATTCAAGCATAAATAATTTGTTGATGCAACAAATCCTTTTTTTCGTGTTGATGGTCTGATGGGGAAGTTTCCTTCAGATGAATTTTCATGCATCAAATAAGTTCGGAACTCTCCAGTTTTATGTCCACGCTGTACAGAATGGCGACCGATAAAGTCCAAATCGTTTTCATTTGCAAATTGAAGCAATTTCAAATTTTTCGGGGCGGCAAACTATGACGTGCATTCTGAATCTACTCTGAAAATAGCTGATGGTGACGAATATAGCTAGCGAATAGCTAACGAATGAGAAACGAATGAAAAAAATAGAACAAGTAGAACTGGTGAACAAAAACATAACCACAAATGCACTCGGAGCAGGAATACAGGGTGTAGTTGGCTTCATTCTGACAGGTTATGGTTTTGTTATTTATGCATTGACATATCTCGAATAGAGCTTGATCCTGAACGAGAATATCATCGAATCAATGAATGACTATCGGCTACATTCAATGATACTATCCTTCCTAACTTACCGTCATCGGTCAGAACAGAATGAAGCCGACACCCATGGCTCCTTCGTCTTGTTGTTCCTGTCAGTATTTTGAGTGGTGTGACGGACTCGAAGTATTAAGCGCTGTTGCAAGATATTATCTGCAACTTTCCTTGAAAATGGATCCGTTTCATTAAGGAACGAATTCAATAGCAAAAAAATGACTGGACAAGTTATGAACAACATATTGTCATATAATGATAGTGAATAATTGTAGATACTATCGCAAATTATTATAGTTTATTTTTGTAAGTAATCAACTTCATTCAGCCAATGAGAAATTCATGGGAAATATTCATAATACTTGACAAAGTAGGATTGAAGAACCTGTATTATCCCATTATTGCTATTAGGATATAGTTATTATGCATTCAAAGAACAATTTTCGGAAATCTAGACATATTGATGATGTCGGCAACGTCGTACTGGCACGGGGAATCGTATTTTAACTCTGTGTGATGTGAATGTGAATTATCAGAAAGTACGTCATAGGAATGGTGGAGGAACCAAGATCCTCTTTTCACAAACTTCACAGTGAGATGAAAACCTCAACCTTCCCCTTTCTAACACCTCAGGTATTTCACTCGATCAGACTAGATTTCACAGAAAACACGAAAAAACGTATAGCTGTAGTCATTATATAACAATTCAGGTGCATCTGAAACTATAGGATTTTGAACTGGCCAACTGCAACTGATGAGGCTTGTCAACCCGAAACAGCCTGACATGTATCAGCTGTCAATCGATTCCCGGAATTTGGAACTTTGAAATGCGTTTTTCCCGAAACTCACTTCTTGTGATAATCCCCCTTTTCCCTCTGGTCTTTATTTGAAATCGATGGAAAGTTCAATTTCAAGCAAAAAATGGTTTTCACTGTTTTTTTGGCGCTGTTTCTTGTGATAATGTCCATATGCGTTTTACATGGCCAGGAAGGAAATATTTACCTCTATAATGGTATATAAAACAGATATGACATTCATGAGAAAAACAAAAGTTGCGAAGCAGATCTCTGAAGCTGATGAAGATATAGAATATTTCTGACAATCTCAACTTCTTTGTCATGATTAACTAGCAGTTCAGGCAACATTTCGAATTTCTTTTTCAAATATCAACCAGAGGATCAAACACGAATTGGTTATCACAAAATTCCGAGGCTCAGACAGAACGGAATATCCTATGAATATTCTGAGAACGTTCAGAGATACCCTTTTCAGAATTTTCTCATAGGAAATTCTCAAAATGATCATAGAATATTCCCATCATGCATCGAATATTCTATAAACATACAATTTGACATATTCTTAGAATAGTCTTTTAGAATATTTTGGGATTATTCTTTTCTAATATTCTGAGATTACTCAGAATCGTATCACACTTGTCTATCTCTGATTGAGTTTACACCTATGAAAAGAGTTAAAGATGAAAAATTCAACCTGCATTTGTCCATATCAATAAATATTCAATCGAAACAAGTGAGCTATCAAACAAGACTTAAAAAATATATCGATACCAAAAAATTCAAGAAAGAACTCAAAAAATATTCATTCGTCTGAATTTTGTCATGTCATCCATATTGAGATCATATAACATATCAATTATTTCAATCATTCATTCACTCAAACAAGGATCTGCTCAAACTATGAGAATTACTGAAATAATTATTATATCTATAAATACTATATTTTGAATGTAATGTAATACATTATGATTTATTTTTTCAATGTTTCCTGGTATAAACATATACGTCAATTGTTTCTTGGGAATAATAAAGATGATGATGATGATGATGATGATGATGATGATCTTCAGTAAATCAGCGCCATTGAAAGGCAGATTCTTGGTCAGTGAACTCTTATTGTGAGAATATTGTATAAGGATATAAACGTTTAAAAACAACCAATCTACCCTTCCTTCAAATCCTCCATTATTAAAGGGGTACCTTTTTCTGTGCTTCAATAGATGTAAAAAAAGGTACCTACTAACCTAATCGTTCTTGTAATCTTTGACGGGACGCTTCCATTTGTTCTCTCCTACTCTTATTTTGTTCTTCCATGCTTTTTCTGTGTTCTCCCATTATCCTTTCTACTTCTTTCCTTCTCTCTTCTTGATCTCCTCTTGTTTTTTCTTGTTGTTCCTTCATTCTTTCCCTTGCTTCTTTCATCTTCTTTTCAACTGCTTCTCCTCTCGAACTCTTCTCTCCATCAATACTACCGGAAAGAAAAGATGGGAAACTGAAAACTACCGAGAAACTGTGTTAATCACTATAGATATGCCATGCTACAACTGAAACGATTTAGTTATTCTTGTATCTAGAGCGCGAAATGCTACTTTGATGATCGAGATCTGATTTTTAACGAAGCGTAGCCAAGTTAAAAAAAATAGTCAAGATGACGAAAGTATTTCGCGCTCGAGTTGCAGATAACATTTTTTCTACAAACGTCAAAAAATATAGTTCTAAAGTGAGAATATGCTCAGCTTAATATAAAAAATAGAGTTGAACTGGCCTAAAAGGCCTCCCCCTATCCTCCCCACGCACGATGTTCAACGAACACAATGTGAATTTCCTTTTTTGCCTCCATATGCATATAATAGGTGTTTCGTATTTTTCAGTCATGAAAATTTTCAATTTATGCTTATAAAGTGAGCGAAATGGATGTCCCCTTTCACCATAAGAATATAATATTTTCTAAAAACGCTTAACAAAGTAGCCTTTGACGCTTTCAAATTCCAGCACAAAGTTGACGTTTTCCCGGAAATGTCATTCTTTGACAGCATTTGCGCTCGTGAGCGGAAATATTGAAAAAACGCTCGCACTCTCTGTAACCTATACTTATCTATTCTTGAAAACCCCCAATTCTGTCATGATGGAAAATAGTGACAGTGAATCATCAGACACACCTCCTTCCTGATGATATAGCAGAAAGCGCAAGATTTTGAATCTCTTACCAGTGATGAATATGAAATCAGAAAACGTTTTACTGGATTATTTTATTTTAAAAATCAAAGACTTTGAAGTCGTCAACTCATTGATCTATAAATTCGATGGTAACGTATACATGCTTGAATGTTGAAGATAATATCGGAATCAATAAGTATCTGAAACTTATCGCATTTCTCATGAAACAATCTATTGGATATAAAGCGAGAAAAATCCAAAACATTCACCGCTGAAGATATATACCAACAAATTTCTACAAGAAGCTCCCGATGAAGCATATCTGTTGAAAACGATGAATTTTATTTTATATTCAAACTTAAAAGTTATTTCAATTTTTCTTTTTTCGTTTCCTTTGGACATATGGGATAATATGGATAAGAACTTTCTCAACTATTTCAATCGATCATACTTTCAGGGTAGTTATTTCCAAGAGCTGCGTTAGTAGAAAAAATCTTGTGTGTATTTAGAGCGCAAAGTGATAGATTGCCGCACGACAAAGAAAGTTAGCGCGCGATGCGGAGCGGAGCGCGGTAATCTTTGGAGCAAATAGCTATTTCCTTCGAGCCTGCGCAAAGTATCAATTTTCCGCACTCATTTGCGTGCGCAAAGTAATACTTTTCCGCACTCATTTGCCTGCGCAAAGCAATACTTTTCCGCTTTTCACTGGTAATTTTCAACCGTTCTTCCCGATATTTGTATTTCACCACAATATCAATATGAGGAACAAATGATTCAATTTCCTATCATTATACACTCACCGGCAAAAAAAACCGGCCACCAAAAAATTTGGTCAAGTTGTTCGCCCTGTAACTTCATTAGTTCTTGTCGGATTCTGGTGAAATTCTGATCAAATCGTAGATTCATGTTCCGAAATGTTAACCTGAATATGAATTCCCAAAAAAGCTGATAGCTTGGTCATTATACAGAGAAAATCAAGACTTACTCATTTACCCATAACTTCTTAACGCCCCGTGGCTGAAGTGAGTGGTTGAACTCCTCTTCATTATGTCTTGGATTGAAGAGTATTCTTTTTTCATCACAATAGTTTTTGAATCACGTTGATATCTCATTTTTTAGAAAAGATACGAGGGTTTTAAGAAAGTATGGAGTTATTCAAGTTTTATTAACAATCATCAGAACGTACATAAACTTATCGATCGACAACTTGAAAAAAAATCTTAAAATCAATATGGCTTATTTCTACATTGATTTCTTGGTATACTTCCCTTCGGAAATTGCTGTCGATTGACACTTCACTTCTACCGGCAGAAAAATACTGGTCACCCTCGATTATTTAAAATAAAATAGCAGGCTTGGACAATTGTCTGGAGTGATTTTGACAATTAATCAATAATACAAATCAGCAACTTTCGTTTTGGTTCGTGATTCACGGTGGCATGTCATTATTGTTGTTAAAAGGAAGAACAAAAAATTTGGGGTAATAATAATGGCGTTAACTGTTGCGGATGTTGCTCAAGTGGTAGCTTTGCTTCAAAATGGTCACAGTCAGCGTTATGTGTCTCGAACATCAGGAATACCTCGAACTGCAGTTCGATATGTCTGGAATCGTTTTCTGTGGAGACTGGCAGATTCAAAGGGCGTGCTGGATCCGGAAGAAGAAGAGCAACAAGTAGGATTGATGATCGTTTTGTTGCGCTTAGATCGTTCAGGAATCGCCGAAAAACAGCTGTTCAGCTTCAACATGAATTGCACGCTGTTCGAGGTGTTGATGTTAGTGAAAGAACCATCAGGCGGAGGCTTGGAGAATGTGGTTTGGCATCGAGGAGACCTGCTACAGGACCGCAGTTGCTACCTAGGCATCGTGGAACACGACTACAGTTTGCACGGTTACATGCAAATTGGACACTTCGACAATGGAAAGAGGTTCTCTTCACCGATGAGTCACGTTTTTGTTTGCGATCACCTGATGGTCGAGAAAGGGTATGGAGAAGGCAAAACGAGCAATTTGCGGACTGCACTATCTCTGAACGGGTATCTTTCAACGGAGGATCAGTTATGACGTGGGCAGACATTTTTACAGAAGGACATACCGACCTCGTATTTGTGGAAAATGGTGCTTTGAACGCCCACAGATATGTGGAGGATATTTTACAAGAAGCTGTCGTCCCATATTCCCATTTTATTGGAGACGGCTTTGTCTTGATGCATGACAACGCCAGACCACACGTTGCTCCTCGAATTGTGAGTATTTGAATGATGTCGGAATTCTAAGGCTTGACTGGCAGCATGCAGCCCGGATCTCAATCCTATAGAGCATCTTTGGGATGAACTACAGAGGCGCATTCGTTTACGTCCGGCATTGCCAGAGACTCCTCAAGAGCTACGATTCGCCCTTCAAGAAGAATTTGAGGCAATTCCTCAAGACTGCTTGAGAAATCTGATCAACTCGATGCCACGGCGATTAAATGCTGTAATTCAAGCTCGAGGAGGGCATACTCGGTATTGAATACATCTAGGAGATCTACTTTTTGTTTGTTTTTTGTAATTGAGGTTTTTTGTGTAGGTGTATCTACGTTCTGATTATTGTTAATAAAACTTGAATAACTCCATACTTTCTTGAAACTCTCGTATCTTTTCTAAAAAATGAGATATCGACGTGGATCAAAAACTATTGTGATGAGAAAAGAATACTCTTCAATCCAAGACATAATGAACAGGAGTTCAACCACTCACTTCAGCCACAGGGCGTTAAGAAGTTATGGGTAAATGAGTACCTCTTGTTTTTCCCTGTATAATGACCAAGCTATCAGCTTTCTTCGGAATTCATATTCAGGTTAACATTCCGGAACATGAATCTACGATTCAATCAGAATTTCACCAAAATCCGACAAGAACTAAAGAAGTTACAGGGCGAACAACTTGACTAAATTTTTTGGTGGCCAGTTTTTTTGCCGGTGAGTGTATTTTATTGATATGTAATTGTTTGTCGTTTTGCTATTTCTGTCAAGTATATAACTAAAAATTATTCAATAAATTGTAATTTAAGTTGAAATTTTTTTATTTTCGTTGTTATCTGATAAGAAGCTCGTAGAAAAAACGTTGTTCCTAACACGTGCGCAAAGTGTCTCTTCCGCACGCAAAAGCTTATTCGAACTCCGCTCCGCGTTGTTCGCCTAACTGTATTTGCCGATATGTAATGTGAAATATTACGACACTGGTTTCAGTATCGTATTGTCAAGAATGGATAAAAACTATAATGTTATTGAGAATATTGGAAATTCTCATTTCATTCAAGAACAGTACAATAACCTAGTCTAGATCATATTCTCAGAACCATTTAGCTTACAGGATATCAGTAGAGAATTACGATATTCAAAGGAAATTAAAGTTCGGATTTCAATTTTATTATTATTCAAGTAAAGTCGCTGACGGGCAGAAACTGCTGGTTTTGGATTTTTCCTAATCAAGGTGAATACACAAGTTTTTATGCTGAATCAATTACCACTACCAAAACCAAGATGAAAAAGTATTAGAGAAAAAACCGGCAGTTGTGGTTCGGACAGTGGACCGTAAAATCTTTTCAAATCTTCTAATAGAAGTAAATCTTAAACTTATCTGCATCATGTCTAAACTTCGTGAGTGGCAGTTTCAAATCCTCTAATGAAAAGCGAGCCCTTCTGTAAGTATACCTTTTTTGAGTATTACTAGTTTTAGTTTTCCTGTTTTGTTTCGATTTGAGTTGGATGTATCTTGCTGAATAATTAATGGTCAATTTATTTCATGCCCTAATTGTTCTTATTCAAAATGAATGAACTTGTGAAGTGGAGTTGAATTATTTAGTTATCATTTTCAAAAAACCTCTTGCAAGCGAGTTAGTTCGAGTTGCGATAGTGGGCGTTAGAGCCACTCGTGACGCACTAGTGCGGTAAAGTGTTACCTCATCGCACTAGTACGGTATAAAAATATAATTTCAAAGTTCATTTTTACCCGAAAAAAGAAATAAGAACCAATTTATCATGAATATAGCAGATACTAAAGTTTCGATTGCTGCATTCGCAGCATTTCTATTTATTATATTTTTTATTAATTAGTTAACTTATTGGTAGTAGGTGAAATATTGTACTATATTCGTATCGTAAACTCATATATCGATAATCGATGGGTTGGTTATATGAGACCCAAACAGCAGACAGGCCAATGCCCGACAAGCCAGAAAAAAGGTTCTAAAGGGTCGGAACTTACAACAACGCATTATCAGAATTTTTTCAAGAAATTTCAAATTCAAACCAAATAACTTTTGTATTTAATTTGTTCCTATCTCCAATAGAAGAAGGTGCGGACCACTGTGTCCTCACAACATACACCTATTTATTGTAAACTTTGAAACTGCAATACTGAATTTCGGATTTTGAGTGAACAAGAATTAAAAACCTAACATATGACAAATGAATAACTGAAATAAAATGCTATTACATTCTCCATCAGATTTTTCTCGATATTCAGTAGATTCAAGTTCATTATTTTTCTTCACAGGCCATGACCAAGACTCTTGGGAGATAGTGTTGGTCTTGGTCTTGGTCTCAAAAGGCAAGTCTTGGTCTTGGTCTTGGGAAAATTAAATGAGTACCAGACCAAGACTGGACTCTTGCCCTCTTGGTCTCGCGAAGCCCTAATCAGAACCGTTAGAGCTAAACAATTCGAAAGAGAGTATATTTTCGATGTGATATTGAGCGGGATTTCGGATTGTCAACTCGTCCTTATCATCATTGAATCGACAAGAAATATATGATAATATTCAGTACCTACAGTAACAGAGTGCCACTAGCACCCTCTTTGAACAATCACAAAATAAGTTGAAAATTCGTGTTCCTCGTCTCACAAAACCTGGAACAACAGAATGTTATGCTCATGCTGTTGAAACTCACAAAGTTATTGAGGAATTCTGAAATAAAATATTCCCCAAAAACACGCACCTGGTATGTCCTAAGTCAGCAACACTTTTTTGAGACATGTTCTATCAAAATTTTAATGTTTATTATAGTGTCATTTATAAAGTCAGCATCATATGGAAATAGTATATTATGTAACAAGTGTTATAAACGTCCTTTTAGTAACGAGTAGTTTAAGCACGAGCGGAGCAGAGCGGAGCGAGTCTTTAATAAACGAGTGTCTAGAAGAGTTTATAAACGAGTTACATACTATGATTTTTCTACGAACTCAGAAAATTACATTAACATACTTGCAATTCCTGCTAACCTACAAAATAATTTGAAAGGAATGGGAATTGAGAACATAATACATGCAACTGCATGCAACCAGCGAGACACGTATAAGTGATATTGGTTGTAGATGTGTTCAGTCCATTGCTTACTAACCTTTGTTTCACGTTTATTGTCATGCTTAGCGCAGAATAAATACATTTTTCTCAAAAATGGATGCTTCATTTTAACACTTCTTTGAGATTATGCAAGTACCAGAACATTCTCTTCGATTTCACTCTCGTCTACTTTTCGCATATATTTTTAATGAAGAATTCTGATACAAACGAATATTGTTCGAATAATTCTGATACGAAATTCGAAAATAACAGTTGACAGGTAATACAATTAACAGGCCAGACATGTCTCAAACTACTGAAGCTGTGTTTAATGAACTGCGTTGCCATGGTAATGTGTTTAAGAAATCGTGTTGCCATGGTAACGTGTTTAATATTTCGAATAAATCACAGATCGTCAATTTGTGATTAATCGATCATTTAGCGTCGTACATATCCGTACGCTAAATGCTATTTTAGTTATGTGAGTAGAAAAACACTTTTATTAATGACTTATTTTGAAATTCGAGTTGGACGTCGAGTTTTGCTTCAAAAAAGATGAAAAATGGCCTACTCAATCGGGGTCACGTGACTTTCGCTACATGTAAAAAGTGAAATTTTTTCAAATTAATCGCTGAATGTAGGCTTATTTGTTCGAATATCGAAAAAGGTTACTTGAAAAAGATGTTTCTATTTCAATTTCACATATGTGACTCGGAGTTTATCTTCCTATTACATTTTTTAGATTTCGATATTTTTTTAAAATTTTCGAAATTTCTGTAATATTAGAAAAATTGTAAATTCGATAAAACTACTTCATACCAGTAGCTCCATCATGCTACTAACTTTCTTCAGAAAATGATAATCTCCGCTTCAAAATTCTGTTATGTTTGATGCAAACATAACATCAAAATGCTGTTATGTTTGCATTTAGAAACGGAATTCATTTGAATTCATTTTTTCAGTACTGGAAAGATCAGTTTGAATGAATTTCGTTTCTAAATGCTTGACGTTATATCAACTTTGCATCAAACATAACAGAATTTGGAAGCGGGTATTATCATTTTCTGAAGAAAATCATATTTCTGTCCATAATCAGTGATAAAAAGTAAGTAAGTAATTGAAAGTAAGAAGCATGAAGAAGCTACTGGTATGAAGTAGTTTCGTGGAATTAACGATTTTTCAAATATTACAGAAATTTTGAAAAATAAAAAAAGAAATGAAAATCGTAAAGTTGCAATAGAAGGATCAAATTCGGGAAGCATGTGTAAAATTGAAATAGAAACAACTTTTTCAAGTAAACTTTCTCGATATTCGAACAAATAAGCCTTCTTTCTGCGATCAATTTGAAAAAATGTCACTTTTGACATGTAACGAAAGACACGTGACCCCGAATGAGTAGGCCATTTTTCATCTTTCTCGAAGCAAAACTCAACGACCAACTCAAATTCCAAAATAAGACATTAATAAAAGTTTTTCCCATATGATGCCGACTTTATGAATGACACTGTATGTAGTTTAGAGATTTTTTCATTCTTGATTAATGACCCAGTAGCTAGTGGTAGAAAAAATTGCTCACCTTTCTGTTCATCAGCTGGTGAACCTCCAGCAGAAACATCGTTCCTCTGCGGCCACTGTGGTAGATTCTTGGCAAAAGCAACGGAGGCAAATGCAATGAAAAATATTAAAGTACGCATTTTGGAGCTAAATTCATTCGACTTGGAAAGAAACCCTACAGCCTAGTTCTTATATACTTTGAATTGAGTCATTTATCTTGTGAAGCAAACAATTTCAATATACGAGAAATTCCATTCTCATTGTATCTTATAATTATGTAAACATGATAGGTTTGTAAAGTTTTTAGCGGTTTTATAGTGATTAGTTTCAAATTTCTTGAAAAAAACCTGAAGTAAAACACACCTATATAGTCATACATACAGAGGGATCAAGTTTTTATTCCAGTTTTGATGAGGATCACTTCGAAGGAAAATAATTGAAAGCATTATTATCATCATGTGAGCACACTGCGATTGAGCGACATACCAGAATGGGCGCCTCAAATAGCACTATACTTGAATGTATCGTGTCTTAAAGAGGAGCACTGAGAATGAGCGACGGGCTCTAATAACAGTTGGTTTGAATTTTTTTTTATCGCTTGGAGCGCACGAAAGGGAATCCCTATAATGTTCAAAGAACATCGTGCGTTCCTAGGGAGGATAGGGACAGGAGGTAGGTATTGGAATTTTTTTTGAACTCTTGGAGATTATAATATGTTGTTGGGAATACTTCCACAGGCAATGAATTCCAGAGCCTAGCCGTTCTATGGATGAAGGAGTCTTGATAAAGTGCTGTTCGACATCTTTCGAGGTTGACAACGAAAGGATGTGCTGACTGAGCTTGTCTAGTTCGTCTGATTGGTATTGCTAGTGAAGGGATGATAGCAGAGATTTCCGAAGAACATTTCCCGTGGAAGTATCGATAGAAAAGTGAAAGGTCGCCGACCTTTCTACAGTGTTCCAATGATGTCAAGGAGTGAGTGAGTGTGGCGTCACCCACCAGGCGAATGGCTCTTCTCTGGATGGAATCCAAGAGCATCAGCGTATGTTTTGGTGCTGAACCCCATATGTGGGAACAGTATTCTAGAACAGGCCGTAACTGCGCTTTGTAGATTATGAGAAGCTGTTGAGGTGTAGAGTAGCTTTTCGCACGGAACAATAAGAATTCGAGTTTTTGTGAAGCAGCTTTTGCGATGGATCTGACATGATTATCCCATGAAAGAGTGTTGCTGATGGAAATACCGAGCATAGATATGGTGGGCTTGGTGGGAATGGTGGTGCCAGACATTACAATATCGGGCATACTGATGAGTTCCGCCTTTCTAGAGAAAATACAAGCTTGAGTTTTGGTGGCGTTGAATTCAACTAGGTTGTTTGTTCCCCAGGCTGTGATTTCAGCAAGATCTTCATTGACAGCATTAACCTGCCTGCGCCGTGAGTTCTTACCCAATCAGCCAAAGTACGTCTTAAAGGCGTCTTTAAGACGTACATGTCGGGACATAAGTACGTCTTAAAGACGTACATATTACGCCCAAGAGACATCTTTAAGACGTCTTTGAAACGTACATTTTCCACTAATATGTACGTCTTTAAGACGTCTTTTTTAGGTGTTTTCGGTCCATGACCTCAAATTGATCTTTCAAATTACGGAAAAATCACATAGTTTCAGTTAATTTTCACCTGTGCACTGAAGTTAGCAACAAGTGCAGACAAGCAAAAAAATAAAGGGAAATAAACGACTTCATCAAACAGTAGACACAAGCGGTCACCCATTCAAGTACTAACCGCGCTCTTTGTTGCTTGACTTCGATGATTATACCATACTCACTTCTTCTGTTACTCTGTTTGTTCTATATATCACATAACAAGCTTTAAATTAGTTCAACATGTCCTTGTGTCTGTTTGTAATCAAAACGTGCAAGTTAAATTTGACTCACTTTAAATCGTCCGATTGATTTGAAATTTGGCAAGTAAATATTATTCCGGTGACAATTAGTTGTGATATTATTATTGAATGGAAAAAACAGAATGGCGGATCCAATATGGCGGACGATTTTCCCATTGATTATGTTCCGATTCGAATCAAAATTCAATATTCAAGATGGTGAATCCAATGTGGCATATGGTTTTCTGATTATGGTCTGATCTGATTCAAAATTGGCATCTGAAGGATTTTGCATGGGATCAGAGATTATAATTCCTTTTGTCGAAAATGAAAAATCCAAGATGTCGGATTCAAAATGGCGGACGAGTTTTGTGATTATAGTCCGATTTTATTCAAAATTGATTACAATGGGACTTTTGGGGTCGGAGAATATGATTTTTTTGTGAAAATTCGAGAATCTAACACGAAGGCTCCAAAATGTCGGACGAAAAAATTCAAAAACATCACTTTTGTTGAAAATAAGAAAAAACTGACAGAAAATAACTCACATTATTGTTCTGAAAGTCGAATTGACGTACTGGAATGTACGTCTTTAAGACGTCTTTTATACGACATGGGAGGAACGACGTGGATATACGACCTGAAATGTACGTCTTAAAGACGTAAATTCATGTACGTCTTTAAGATGTACATGGATTTACATCTTAAAGACGTACTTTATACGTCCCTGGACGTAAAGACGTAAGTAAGTCGTAGAATGTACGTCTTTAAGATGTCTGGTGTTGATTGGGTAGTTTCCTGGGAAGAAATGGGAATTCTGTGGAAGAGAACGCAGTATGGAGGGTACTATCATCTGCAAAGCTGTGGATGGGGCAAGTTGTTACTCCCAACAGATCATTGATATGAAGCAGGAATAATGTTGGTGCCAAAATTGATCCTTGTGGAACGCCGGAATTGATGCCAATGGTATCAGACGATACACCGTCCACCACCACGTGAAGCGATCTGCCTGAAAGAAAACTCGATAAGAGATGGCACAGCTGAGGTGGCTGCGTTGCGGCGACGCGCAGTGAGAATGAGCGACGGAATCTAATAGCGATAGATTTGGATGCTCGTGTCGTGAAAGCAATTTGAATAAGCAACTGACTCAAATAGCGGATTTTTGATTATGTTCTGGTTCCCAAGAATAAAGATATCCTTTAATGTTCAGAGAACATTGTGAGAACCTAGGGATATATGGGGTAGGAATTGGTGTTCTTCTTAAATTTCTGGAGGTTATATGCCTCGGGGAACACCTTCCTTGACAATGTGTCTCAGAGCCTCGCTGTTCGTTGGATGTACGAGTCTTTGGAAATATATGTTCTGCAGGTCTTCAAAGTGACCACGAAGGGGTGCGAAGCCTCAACTCGACGGGTTAATCTCGCGGGGACTGCCAAGGAAGGAACAATAATTGTTGATATTTCAGAAGAGCATCGTCCATGAAAATATCTATAAAATACAGCCAGATCGCTAACTTTTCCACGGTGTTCCAGAGAAGTGAGTGAGTTTGTGAGCGAGGCATATCATCCACGAGACGAATTGGCTTTTTTTTGGACAGAATTCAACAGTTTCAGGGTATGTTTGGGTGCCGCACTCCAAATATGGAAACAGTATTCCAGGACAGGTCGGATTTATGCCTTATATATCATAACCAGCTGACTGGAAGTGAAATAGCTCCTGGCTCGAAACAGAAAACCAACTTTTTGGGATACACTTTCAGCAATTGATCTCACGTGATTTTCCCAAGAGAGGTCATTGCTGCAACTAATACCAAACATCGAAATGGATGTCTTCAACGGTATGGTTACTCCTGGCAAGATTATGTTGGGCACAGTGAGATCGGCTTTTCTAGAGGAAAAGCATGCTTGTGTTTTGTTTGCATTGAAATCTACCAAGTTATTGGATCCCCATTCTAGAATTATTGCCAAGTCCATATTTATGTTGTCAACATTCCTCTCCCTCGCTCGTTTCTGATTTGCCTGGCTGGTATTGGAGCCCTGAAAGAGAAGGCGGTATGGAGGGTATTATCATCCGCGAAGCTGTGTACCGGACATGAAGTTGCTTCCAAGTAAAGTGATTGAATGCCAATTATAGAGTAATATTCCACTTGCCCATTAGGTACATTTGTATGGAGCAGGATTTTGAGAGATCAATGATTATTATACCTATCCATTTATTCGATTACATATATTGTATTGACCACTTTGTATAAGTAGTTGATGACAAGTACATATAATAGGTTCCTAAGGTAATAATATTATTGTACTTTCCATATAATAAAATGATGAAATATGTAACATTCCATTTAAAAAATAACATTCAACTATTTGTTTCATTGAGAATAACAGTGCATGATTTATTATGCTCTCGGGTAATGCTAATCAGTACTATAGAATGTGAATAATAAATATTTGAGCAGCAACTCATCAAAACGCATCGTGTGCCATTTATTTGATTTGTCAGTGGATACGAAATAGATATTTATTTTACAAGGGAAAAACGTAGTAGATTTCAGCTCCAGGTTGTGTTGAGGAAGACAAAAAACCGTGAGCTAAAATCTAGTGTTTTTCCCGTGTATAATAATAGTAGATTGTTTTATTAGGATCAAAAGTGACACTTTGTTTGACAAGCGAATTTTGCATTTGCGAGGCGGAGCGTTTAGCGAAGCCGAGCGAAAGCAAAATTTGCGAGTCGAACAAAGTCACTTTTGATCCGAATGAAACATGCTGTTTTTTCTGCAACCGAAACAATTAAGTCAAATAAACATGTGAAGTAACCACCAATGCCGTGCCATATTTATGCAATGCAACAAATATTGACAAATAATCCATGTGGTGAGAATATTCTACCTGCATCAACAGCAGGTTAGATTTTCAAGGATGTTCGAATTGTAGTTTCAATATAAATACAACCACAGAGTGATATATTTGTGTATGGACCAGGTGCTCTAATGGCAAATACTGCGCCAGTGCCAGCTATATAGGAACAAGACGTGGAAAATGTTAGGTTAGTGAGCATATCAACAATGATAATATTGATAATAGTGATTATTTATTCCTCTCCATACTACACTGTGTTTGACTTGATAATCAAATGAAGCTAAAATATAGCGTTGTTTGAGACAAAAAAACTATGGCTTGCCGTGATTATTCAAAAACAAGTTATCCATCCCAAGAATAACGAATGAAATACAGATCCAAGCAAGTATTTGAATCTT